AAAAAACACAAACATAGCAGTCTAACTTTAGAAATGCTCAAAATCCATTTCATTATTTAAAAAAATTTTAAGTAACTTTTTTAGATTGTGGATTTGAAAAAAAAACAAAACTTGTGTTAGGAATAGAATTTTGGCTTAAAAATGAGAAGCAACGTTAGCCTACAGGCTGGTATTCCTGCCATGTGAGTCCTGGCGGGGGCTCACTCCTCTTGGCTGTGAACAGTCCCCATCACACTTGTCCTCTGACTAAGCAACAAGGAAGTACCTGGAACTGCCGGTTTCCTCCAATCAGATGGTTCTTTGCTTTTCACAACAGATGATTGTAAAAATCAGAATGGTATTTTAAGAACTAGCTGATTAAACACCCCAACTTGTTGGCTTAAGAGTGCTGAATGAACAACCCATCACACCTGGTGCCCAAGCCCCACTTTTTTTGAGGTGCTCATTTTAATCTGACATGGCTGTGGACATGGTGTGTGTCAGGACCACTTCTCTCTCTGCCTTTTGCTTCCTTAAACCAAGCCAGGCCCACTACTGTGAACTCAGCTGCTGGAGTTCTTTCAGAAGTTGGGGGAAACCAGGCTGCCTGTTTGCTTCAGAGGTCTAGACTCTTAACGCCTGGTCTCTTAAGATCCAGACCATAAAACCTCAGCCAAATAATTCACACCAACATTTTATTGTTGGGCTTTTTTAACGAAAAACAAAATGTCAGTTTTTGATGTTTTGTATTTATATAAATATGACTTTAAAATATATTGGTTTCTGTCTGGGTGCGGTGGTTCACGCCTGTAATCTCAACACTTTGGGAGGCCGAGGTGGGCGGATCACAAGGTCAAGAGATCAAGACTAACCTGGCCAACATGGGGAATCCCCTTCTCTATAAAAATACAAAAATTAGCTGGACGTGGTGACGTACGCCTGTAGTCCCAGCTCCTCAGGAGGCTGAGGCAGGAGCATCCCTTCAACCGGGGAGACGGAGGTTGCAGTGAGCCAAGATCTTGCCATTGTACTCTAGCCAGGTGACAGAGTGAGACTCCCGTCTCAAGAAATATATATATATTGATTTATTTTTTAAAGATCCATTGCTGGGACCATGAGGGTCATTCATTCCTTTATTCTGGAGGTATTTATTGAGGTGTGCAATACGCAAGGTACAATGCTAGAAAAATTCTTTCCTATCAGCCTAAACCAGAAACAGTCTGGTTTTCTGCTCTCTTTCCAAGGCCTAGAATTGTATCCAGCATCTATTATGCCTACTCTTCATTCATTGTAGAATCCTAACAGTGAAGGAATGACACACTAAGATAAGCCATGCCTGCATTTTCCCCTACCAGGAGTTCAGATTGTTATGAAAATCAGTATAAAGACCTTTCCCTTTGGCAATCTCTATCTACCAACTAATTCTTGTAGCCAGAATCAGATAGTCTCCATGGAGTTGACACAGCTTCATAGGAAATCAGTTAATTAACCACTAAATACTGATAGGACACCTACTTTGTGCAATCTCCCCCCTCCTAGACAAAGGAGTCATTCAAAGAAGTAAATGAGATACTCTGTTTTCAAAGACTTTCCATACAAACATAAAGTTACTACAATGCAGCCCTGAGGCCAAAGAGGTGACTGGCATAAAAGAGAACTAAAAGAGATTAGAGGAAGAAGATGGAAGCCTAGAATTTGGCCTTTAACCAGGTGAAGAATGGAAGAACGGGCATAACAGAAATGCAAGGCTGTGTGTATATATACGTGTGTGTGTCTGCATGTTGGAAGGTGACGGAGAATGGCATGGACAGAGTCTGGAAGAAGCCAGAGCACACAAGGCACACCAGGAGTTAATTCCATTCAGTGAGATTTGAGTCAACTGAATAAATATTTATTGAATGCACACTGTGTACCTGGCATTGTGATAGGTACTAGGTATACAATGGTTAACAAGACTGATATGGTTCCTGGGTCACTGGCAAGTGGGAGACATGGAGAAGTAAACAGACAATGACCATGTAGTATGATAAGTGCTACGATAGGGAAAAGTCCAGGTGTTACCGAGAAGGATGAAGAAAGGACCCAACCCAAACACTGGGGTCAAGAAAACTTCCTGGAAGAGGGGACATCAAGCTGACCCCCAAAGCCAACGTAGAAATTGGTTGGGTAAAACTGTTCGGGTAGGATATATAATACTTACCCAGGAATTGCAAATGTGAAGGGCCATGGAGATCTGAAGGTGGCTGAGTTTGTTGGAACACAAGGGGAAGGAGGACTGGAAGAGGCTAGGGATGGGAGCAGTGGCCAGAATTTGCACATTAAAAGAGTTTAGGCTTCATCCTAAGAGCAGCTGTAACCTTGAGGAATTTTAAGCAAGAGAATAAGACATGTGGATATGCATTTTAGGTAACTGTCTGCAGTGTGAGACGGTCCTGAGAAGAACAATGGGTAAAAAGAACAAAAGGGTAATAGGCAGTTAGATCCTTGAAGTTATATCCCTAACACAGTATAAGAACCAAATGAATATTTTGTGAATGAATGATCAATGAATCAATCAATAATTTGGTGCAGGATTGAAAATATGAGACTTCAGGCAGAGGATAAAGTTGTCTGTATGTATACAAGGGTCAGAGTGAAAGCTGACTGGCACACTGACATGTCTCCAAGTCTTGAATCTCATCAGACAAATGATAACAGCTGACAATGGAGTAAAGTGGAACAGACTGGAAACAGCTTCAGTGGTGGAGTCAACAGACCAAGGTCTGAGTCCTAGTTTTCATGTTTATTAATTTTGAGATGTGTTTAATTTCTCTGATCATTGGGTTCCACAACTATTATGCCTACTCTTTATGTGCCAATGCATAGGCAGAATGGGAATGGATATCACATTCTGTGTATGTTTCTGTTTTCAGGTGGTACGTAGGCACTGTGGCAGGACTGATGGACCAGTAGAGTTTCTAAATCATCCACTGTAAAAACCAGTTAGTGAAACCTGCCTGACAGATGGCAGAGTCATGGTTTAGGTAGCAGGGGATTTAGAAATCAAGTAGCCAGTAAGTACTGCACAAAGTTTGGATATATGGCTCACTAACTTGTCCACTGGAGACCCTGGTGGAGACGTTGGGAGAGGGGTGGAAAGGGTCCCTCTCCTGCTGCTGTCCCCAAGGAGAGTACTAGGGACAGAAAGAGCAGAAACAAGTGGTATAGCTTGAGGGTCACAGGGGTCAGTGAGGTGGCCTGGAGAACACACACAGGCAGTTAAGGACACAGTCTAGAATAGAACTCAGCTCCCTGAAGTTCAGTGCTCTTTTCACGACTCCACCTTGTCAAATTAATTATGTCAACTCAAGTCTTAGAAAGAACAACTTATGTAAGATTCAAGCCAAGAGGTCTTCTCATAAGTTTGTGGCTGGAGCTACCAGCCAGGGCCGCGTGACCTTTCGAACGAGAGGTCAAAGCAGGAATCCTGGCTACAGGAGTGAGGTGCTCCCCTGGATCCACTTGTTTGGAAAGAAGGCAGCTTCATGAAGCATGGGGGTGCAGCTACGTTGGTGGTGGAAGAGAAAAGCAGGATGAATGACAACGTACTTGAATCCAGAAACAATTAGCCAAAGAATAAAGCAAGAGAAGAAAAAGCAGAGGGTGAAGAACTGCCCAGCAAGGAGCTGCTGGAAGAAGGGCTAGTGAACCAACTCGTCGGAAAGTACGTCGTACCACGCAGTTTTAGGAAACACAGCAGGCCTGAGCTCCTTGGTACCCTCAGGAGATCCAAGTGAACAGGCAGAAAGTGACTGTGTTCTGTGAAATACTTCAGGTAGCCAAATGCTCCTCTTTCCAGCACTTTTCATATCATCCCCCTTACCTTCCCCCTAACACACTTACACCTTCTGGCCCATTCCAGCTGAGTTTTGCTTCTCTTCTGCAGAAGAGTGTGACACTAGGGTAATATCGCTGAAGACATTTATTAAAATAGCTTCCTTAAGAAATATAATTTTTAGCTCGTGGCCTTGGGTCCCATATCTCTAAATCATCTTCATCTTTTCACTTTCCAAAAGCAGTATAGAGTCAGCTGTTTGGGGAGTCCTTATAATTTTTATTAAGTAAAACTCAACTAAATTATTTTTTGGTATTCTACATTCATAGAGTTAGCCCTCAAGTGTTGGGTTAACTCTATAAATACAGAAAACCGAAAAATAATTTAGTCTCACCTGTCTCCCTTAAAGAAAGCTCCAATAAATCAATCAGCCATAACAAAAAGGCCACTTTTCAGTTTTTCCTGGAAATTCTAAAGCAAATGGTATTGAAACAAAATTGACTATATAATTCATACTCTCTAGTGATCACTTACATAGCTCAGTCAAGGTTTGCAGTCACAGGTATCTCTGACAATCTACAAATCTGTAATACCCACACATAAACAGCTGGGGCAGACATCAGAGTTCCTTTATCAAGACTGAAATCCATGTGTCTCCTGCGCTCTTAATACATTTCACCATCCACACTGTTTAATTGAGCTTTTTACTACAAATGGTTTTAGGCTCTGATGCAAGACAGGAATTTGAAGCATGCATTGGAGTATTTAATGGTGCTAATTTCTGGTGCACACAAACATCAACTTCACTCAACAATCCAATAATCTTGCAAAAAGAAATATGCCGGAGAATAAAATACAGCAATGGAATTCTTCAGGACTGCAAGCAAAGCAGTTCCACTGTCCTGCTGACGCCAAAAAGTAATAAAATAGCTGCCTATTTACAGATTCTTAAAGATATTACAATCAATAAAAAAAAAAGGAAGAAAGTAGGGTGCTTTCAGATCAAGGAATTCTTCTTTTATATTCAAACATGTTTATTCACTTAAAGTCTTCAAATGTAACCAAACTTAATTTTAAACAAACATCTGATTGCAACAAAGGAAATGTTTAGTCTCTCTCTCTCTCTCTCTCTCTGTGTGTGTGTGTGTGTAAGTGTGTGTGTGTGGCTTTGCTTCAACTGGATGGTATAAATTTAAACAATTCCTACCTGGAAATATGGATGGTCTCTTCTTTGGGTGCCTCAGATGAATCGGATCAAAGTTCTTAATGTTTCTTTGAAGTCTTCCTCTAATGTCATTTCCTATGAGTAGTTCAGGTGGCAGGCTACTCCGTCTTGATGATTTATAATCATTTTGAGATGAATTTAGTTTGTTCTTCGTTCTGGAATATAAATTGCTGTCATCAACTGCCATTGTGGGGGATACATTAGAGACTGAACAAAAATCCAAAAAGCAAACCCAGTGGCAGCCACCGTCACAGCCACCGAGCCGCCGCCACCCTGGACTCCGATGTTCTCATGCTTTACTCTGCACTTGTTTGGGAAGCTTGGCAAGTTCATAGGCGTGGACGTGAACAGGTGTAGAATTACTAAGTAGCCCCTCCTTTCTACAGTTAGCAGCACAGGGGAGGAGAGATCCAAAAAAAAAAAAAAATTAGGTGCAGAAGACTGGGGAATTTGAACAGATGTGATTCAGGGTGGATGGTAACAAAAGTGGTATAATGGTTGCTGCATGAAATCTCTGCTTCATGGGTGCAACACCATAAAACAAACACAGTGCACTATTCAAGAATAAATGCCTATGCAAATTTCAAGTCTAATTTTTTGTATCATTTCCCAAACTCTTACAGATTTTAAACAGTTTTGGGGAAGCATTTTTACATTCCCTTGTACCTTTAAGTTTCAAACTATACACATAACACAGAACGAACATCCTTCTTTATTCAGTGTCTTATTTGGCTGACTGCCAACTGGAATTTGGCTGAAAGAGGTGATGACCAGGAAGGAACCAGCAGTGGGTGTGTGCCAGGCAGCAGTGCCGGGAACCCACTGTTGCTCCCCACCCACCCCTTCCATCCAGTGCTCCAGCTGGCAGATAGCTTCTCCAGAAGTTCCCACTGACTGGCAGTGGGGTCAGAGGTCTAGAAAACAAGCCTTAGCCATAGAATTAATCACTGCCTCCATTCACTAATAAAAAGTCAATGTTACTATCCTTGAGGGGATTCTGCCTAGCTTTCAACTAAAATAGTAATGGGTTTGGTGGTCTAAGAAAAACCAGCATTTCTACACTCAAGATTCCATCTTGTTCTGTCACCCAGTTTCTTTCTCTCTCTCTCTCTCCCGGATTTTGCATTTTTATGTTCTCTGTTCCCTTCCCCTTTGCTCTATTTATGTGGAAATGTTCCGCACTTTTTTCGTTAACTGACTGTGCAGAAATCATCACTCTATAATTCATTCTCCCCAGCCATGCCTCAAGACTGTGCCTGTGTCCATCGGCAATCTCTCTGTCACATACACACATATACCCCGTTTGTGTTTTGTCTGGTTGCAATGTAAGAAGATGAAATCTACCTTTCTCTTCCCAGTGCCTGGGATCAATAGATACATAACATTATAAGGGGCTTGGGGTCATTTCACAAGTCACTGTTTATTTTGGCTTCCTAGATGCCAAGTATATTTCAATATTTGTTGATATTTAGGTGTTGGTTCTGTTTACCAAATTGAGGATGTACTTCCACATTAACACAAGTTTTGTTCTCCTTATGCCCTTTCAGCATCAGGTCTCCAAATCACAACTGATTTTCTGGAAAGAAAAGTGTTTTTTTCTTATGCCAGTTGAGAGTTGCCATTATAATCTGGCAATTATAATTATAAATCCATAAATCATGTTTATATATTAGATTATTAAGTTATTTCACCAATTCTGAGAATCATCTGTACTTATAACTTCCTGTAACTTCCCTCCCAGGACTTAGAACTTTGTCAAGTTGAAATGTATCATGAACTTCAAAACAATGAGTAAGTTGTATAAGACCATTTCTAAAAGGTTTTAGAATGAGACTGCCTCAATCTCCCTCACCCTAATAAAAACACATTTTTTTCTAGTAAGGAAATATAAAGAAAAAGCATTTTTAAAAGTTTGAGATAATGATATAAAAGGAAGAAAAAATATACATTCCTAAAACCGAAACTTCAAGAAATGTTTAATTTTCAAATATAAAGCAATTTAAAATCCTAGGGCACAAAAGACTGGTACTAACTGGGAGAAATTCAGCAATTGGCAAAGCAGAAGCTCAAGCTATTTGGTGACTGTGTCTTTCTCGATCACACTACTATGATGGCCCCAAATAAGAGCATGTATGAGATGAAACAGAAGTCTCTAAGGACAGGTATTATTATCACACAGAGTGTACACCAGGTATGCCTGCATCGTATACCTTTCTTTGTCTTTGAGTCCAGCTGAAAACACAGAATGAAGTACATATGCATCTGGAATGCATTATAATAACAGCCATCATTTACTGCAGGCTTAAAACTGGCCAGATTCTGCGCTAAGCCTTTGGCATGCATTATCTCATTGATTCCTCCTAATCACTCTATTTTATAAATGAAGATGCTGAGACAGAGTCAAACACATAGAAATTAGTGGAGAGAAGATTTGAACCCAAGTTTTCACTAACTCCAAAGTTCACATTCAAGTTCATGCCTTAAACTATACCACCTAACAATTGTTAAATGTGTATAATATCTAAAAGGAATTAAAAGTCTTTCTCCACTTTTCTAAAAACAATTATTGGGGCTGGGTTTGGTGTCTCGCACCTGTAATCCCAGAATTTGGGAGGCCGAGTCGGGTGGATCATAAGGTCAAGAGATAGAGACCATCCTGGCCAACATGGTGAAACCCTGTCTCTACTAAAAATACAAAAATTAGCTGGGTGTGGTGGCACACACCTGTAGTCCCAGCTACTTGGGAGGCTGAGGCAGGAGAATCGCTTGAACCCGGGAGGCGGAGGATGCAGTGAGCTGAGATCATGCCATTGCACTCCAGCCTGGTGACAGAACAAGACTCCGTCTCAAAAAAAAAAAAAAAAAAAAAATTATTGGTTTCCAGCAGATTCGCACTTCACCAACATCATTCCACCAGATTGAGGAATGGTCTGGCTCATTTAATTAGATTTGCCCTGTTGTCAGGAGGTTTTTGAGATTCACAGAATGAAAGAGGAAAGCAGGAAAATTCACATTTTTGCCAGAGTATTTGCATTACTAATAAAGTAACCATGTTGAGGCTTTTCACACTAAAATGCATTTTAGATACAAGTATTATGTATTCCTGACATTTAAATTATAATTTTGAAAAAAAATCCTCTACCCTACTTCAGAGGTATATCAAGTCCTCTAAACCTCTAAAAATTAAATGACTTAAGAGAGGCAAGAGGAGTTCCTGATGTGTCCAACTTCACCTCTCTCCTGCCTAACTCATTTTCCCCTTAGAGAGAATAGAAACAGATGGGAATCTAGCTCATTTAATACACTTCTTCAATGCAGAAAAGTGAGAACAACCTGAATTTTCTCTTGTTAAAATATTAGAGCAATGTAAACAAGGAACAACTTTTATTAATTCAAAAGTAGTATTAAATCTGTGAACATAAAAAAAGTAAAGCAAATCATTCTTTCAAAATATTTAAATTGGCTGCCACATGAATGACAAGCAATCAGCCACAGAATATTTAGCTTGGTTGTCTACATGAGAATATTTACAGATTACAATGTTAAGTCCATCTCTCCTTCTGTATAGTTATGGCCAAAGTGAATTTTTTTTTTCAGGTGTTCAAAAGAATGATGACACAGGCTTTGGGCTAAGAGGAATTTTAAAACTTATAGTGTAAATAATTTTAAATACATGATTGGGCATTTTCTATTTTAATGACATTACCATTATCATCATTATTTTTGAGACAGGGTCTCTGTCACCCAGGCTCAAGTGCAGTGGCAGCAATCATGGCTCACTGTGGCCTCCACCTCCTGGGCTCAAGCAAACCCCCTACCTCAGCCACCCGAGTAGCTGGGACTACAGGTGTGCACCACCACCAGGCCCAGCTAATTTTTGCATTTTTGGTAAAGATGGAGTTTCACCATGTTGCCCAGGTTGGCTTCGAACTCCTGGGTTCAAATGATCCTCCTGCCTCAGCCTCTCAAAGTGCTGGGATTACAGGCATAAGCCACCATGCCTGGCTGACCATTATGTTTTTAAAGGTCTCTATTTTCCTATAAATCCAAAATACTAAACTCTTTTGAATTATTTCAATTTATTACCCTTCAAGAAGTTGTGTATTTTATATTAAATAATGTTACAATATCATGAAAATTTTATTCTTCCTGGTAATAAAACTTTAATCTTCTTTCCTTCAGATTGTACAAATAGTCTGTAAAAACACATTTCCTCACTATGTAGCCATGATTTCCTTGTGGATCTTGGTAGCTTTTTTTCTGTAGAGATGGGGTTGCCTAGACTGGTCTTGAACTCCTGGACTCAAGTGATCTTCCTGCCTTGGCCTCCCAAAAGGCTGAGATTATAGACATGAGCCACTGCACCCAGCCCTATTGGCAGCATTTAAATAGAATTACTGAGTTATTTTGCTTGTTGTGAGATAGCTGCAATTATACTGAGAACAATATAATTTTACAACTGTAACCATTTTTCTCACTGTCACCTTCATAGAAATGGTCCACCCAGAAGATGTTAGGCCTGTATGAATTGACCAGATTAGTTTCCAAATCTCAATCTGACCCAGCTGTACTGCATATCCTGCAAACATTTCTTATTTTTGAACTGAGATGACCTAGTAATCAGTGGGTTTGCCACTAGGAAAAAATAACAGTATAGAATATCAGAATGACGGATATCACCAAGTCAAACAGGTCAATGATTTGTCCCTCCAAAAGGTCACCAGCCACCTCTTGTTGCCAACACATCTTTGCTCAATATAGGTAACAATGCCTGCAGTATTACCTGTGGTGTGATTATGGCTGAGGAAATCTTTTCACAGAGCCTAAAAATACAACATAGATGTTCAGTATCTCATTGGCTGTCCATAGCAATGAACACTAATGACCAGTCTTTCCCTGTTACAATTCTCTGTTCTCTTTGCTTTCATGACACTATTATTTCTCATTTGTCTCCCTATGTATGTCTCAGGTCCCTTCTGCTTAGATTCTTCAGGGCTTCTTAAAAGTCTATTTTCCTCCCTCCCTCTCTTTGGCAGGCCAGTTTATTGAATGCCTGCTATGTGTTTGGCACCATGCTATGTTCAAGATCTCTAGTCTTCAGAATCTTTTCATCTAAAAGGGGCAAAGAACAACAATAAACAAATTATTGCAATAC